GTATCGCCCTGAGGGGGGACCTGCTCAAATGTCTGTCCGTCTGTCTATCTGTCCGAGCGTCCTCTAGTGTCAGTAAAGGGTATTTGCGATCACAATTTGGCGTTAAGATTAATTCCGTATTACCCCGACCTATAGGATGAATCATTGGTTATGGGAGGCAAAAGGCTGCTTTTTGACTAGGAAACAAACATGAAGATAACAGACATCTTTACAAATCTCTCAGTAAGAGCTTGTCCCTGTCTGCGCGTTTTTAATCCCGTCCATATCTGTCATTTTTGGATATATTTGGAAATAAATTGCAATAATCATGTGTGTCACATTGATACAATGTCATTAGAAAGACCCAGGTTTGAAGCTCAACTCCTAAAGTTAGACTTGAAAGTGCTTAAAAAAAGATGTGCATTTTAGTATTCTGTCATAAAGAGATGGATTTTGAAATAGTTAAGCATAAATATACGGCCTATATAAGATTAGGAATGATGTCCCTTATAGTATTACTAATTCTTCAAACAGGGATACCATGAAAAGTGTTTAGTTATTTCTTATGTCAATGTCAATTGCGAAAGAACATGTACTGGGACTTGTCATGCTTGAGAGCCAATTCAACAGTCCAAAGATCAGGGTCTGATGATGTCTATCAAGAAAGACAATTTTGTAAAAGTTCATTAGTGGGGAACCCGGTCAACATTTTTCATGCACGACCTGATATTCAAAAAAAGTATGAGTATTTTCAAAAGTAAAATATAGGAATCGCCATACTGGCTGGCATTCGAAAAAATTTTTTTTTTCATGAAATAGACTACTTTTCTGAAGAATAGAGTTAATATTTCTTCTTGTAAGAGAAATAATCCATATTGTGTTTATCCCATAGAAGCCCCTACATACTAGTGCCGAGCTTCGTGCGTGAGGATAGTATTTCATTTGCCTATATAGGTAACCCGACAAGAACATGGTGGTTGAGGCCCCTGTGTTAGGACTTTTGTCGTCTATTTTGTTATCATGTGCTATTAAATTATCTGTTTTGATTGACCTAGAGCAGGCGGTGTACGGGTAAAAATATTTAAATCTTGTTTATTGTATATGCCGTCGTCCTGGAACGACAATAACTTTGCGTAAATGTGTACTTTGAAAAGGTCGTGTAATGCAAAAGTCGTGTAATGCAAAAGCAAGGTTATGTCTACATATAAACTTCTAAATCATGATATAAACATAACAAGATGATTGTGTCTGATCTATAACTTTCTCATTAATTGATGCCTTTTGAAATAATTCTGCATAAATATATGGCACATATGGACAATGAGTCACATGTAAAACCCAGCTGATGATGTAAATCAAAGACCAAAATCATACTTTGACTTCGAACAAAATATTTCCTTAAAGTGTCTAAAAAGGATTTTGTCATTAATGGATGAATTAAAAATCATTTGTGAGACGACATGTAGCGGACAAATGTTCAAAGGTCACACTTGTATTTCAAAAGTCATGATATGAGAGTGCATTTGTGGTCATGTCCAGTCCATATATGTGTTATTCAGCGAGAGTTAAGAATAAAAACGTGGTACTTTGAAACAATTTGTCTTGAGTGAGAAAAGAAATGTCGCATAAAGTAAGATTTCAGACATAAAAGGTAATATTTCATTTCATATAAATATTTTGAAGGTCATGTCCGGTCATGAATTCTGTCATTCATTGGATGGCTATTGGGGTAACTAGGCATACATTTGTGGCACATTAGGACTACTTGTAATGTTCAAACACAAGGTTGATAGCTAGATAGGTCAATTTAGAACGCTGATGGTTGTGTCTATATCTTTGTCATTTATTCATGGATGCTTTTTAAAATAATGAGAAATAATGAAGATATAAATAAATGCTTCTTAATTTTTCTATTTTTTGTAAAACTTGTAAGACTACAGTAACCATGCCTTCAATGTAAAAAAATGGAAAACAAGATTAACAAACTTTAAGGTGGCGTTATTTTTTAAATATTTACATATTGACCTTGACTCTTCAAATTATAAATGATCTAGAGTCCATAAAGGTTTACACTAATGCTATTCTATTAAAATAAAGAAAACTTAAACATCTAATGGTATATTAAAATGTGCAGGTTTTATGTAAGACATTTGGGATCTCAGATACCTGATAAAGATTAATTGTCCAAAAAGAATGACCTATGATAGTTTGAAATAATGATATAAATTAAAGTGGGCAGTATACCTACACAGTGTGTACAATTCGACATTAAATGTTGCTCACATCATTATACAATTATTGGTACACATTCCTACAGAAGGATCCATTTGTTTAAAAGCACTTAAATTACTTATATTTGTTAAAAAGGGTGTCCATTTTGAAATCAAAGATGGCCGGCATTGCAGTCAATGTGTAAAGCATGAATAATTATCAGCCAATTATTCTTAAAAGTAATTGAAACTTGATTTCATGCAGATTAACGGACATACGTTTCGATATGTACCAGAAATGATAATTTTTTAAGTAGATGGTAGAGGACATTTTGATTTGACCTTCAGAAGGTCAAGGACTTCTAGTACAGCCGTGATAGAGCAAAAAATGGCTTCAGCGTACCCGCTTGTACCTGCTTGTACTAAAAAATGCCGTTAGACTCTTAACGGAGGCTCTTTTCTGAAAATCAAACCCGTCTATTTGAAAAAACCCGAATAGGTAGAGTTTATATATTAAGCATGAAACATTTTCTAGTAAGTGTCTACAAAGATTGTTCAAATAAAAGCCCTGGAGTCAAAACTGGCCCTGCCCCAGGTGTGTCATTGTTTTTAACTATATGTGTAAAGAAAAAACTTTAAAAAATCTACTTTTAAAAATCCCAACGAGCTAGACCTTAGATGTTTAGCATGAAACATCTTCTAATTGTTGTCTACAAAGTTTGTTCAAATAAAAGCCCCGGGCTTTAAACTGACCCAGCTCCGGGGGCCTATGTACAGGTGAGCGACTTCAGGGCCATCCATCATGGCCCTCTTGTTACAAAAATATTTTGTCAAAAAAACTTATTTGTATATAATCATTGCTTGATTAAATTTACTTTATATATTATTTTTTATATCTGATAAGTATATTTTTTTACTTATTATTTTTCATTATTTCAGGATTACGATGGTGATGACAATGACGACTTAAATGATTCGGATTATGTTGCCGAGTCTGATGAGGGAGATTCCACTGATGAAGATTTGTCCCTTTTTGCCCCTTATTTCCAAAATGCGTTACTGTCAAACTGGCTTACTTCCTTGACACATTCAATAAAAATATCCCAATTGCTGGCTTTCATACATTCATCAATGGACTTTATGTTTATAGATCTCAAAGTTATTAGAAGGCGAGCTAATTCTCTCATTTTGTTTGAGGTGTACACAGTTTTGTATTCTACTCCTTGCTTTTCGAATTCACTCATACTGAACTGTAAAATTAATGAATCTGACACAACAGCTTGCTTCACAGAATCATCTCATTATGTTGAGAATGTTTGTCTCAAATTTTTCATTTTTACTTAATTTTGGAAGCATCTTCTTTCCAGCTGCAATTGGACCCATTCTTATATATCAGAGTTACATTCATTTCTTTTTTTAGTGCATGACTTTTGGTGTTTTCAAAGCTCTTTTCTTATAAAATCCTGAACAGAATTGACATGAAAGCAGACTGCTTATTTCACTTTCTTCTGCCTTCCTGTATTTCGGAATTATCTGTCTATGTCCTTTCTCAAGCACAGTAAAATTAGGGGCAAAGTCCCCTTTGTTCACCAGCATTTCCCATGCTTTTCTTCTTTCCTTGCTTTTGGGTTTTAAGGCAAGAACTCTTCCAACTTCCAATTCATTACTGTGCGAAGTTCCCTAATGCCTTGCAATATTCTGGTCCAATTTATAACAGAACAAACACGCATGTGACTTGTTGCCTATCGCCTTCCTGAAAATGTACTACAAGTTGAAAAATGTGAAAAGTTCTCCGATGCATCAACAACGGAACCATTAATAAATTCAGTGGGTGTGACTTGGGGACATTACCTTCAATCCAGATGGTAAGTTATATTTTTTTTACCAAAACAGAAATACTATTTGATCCTTATTATTGGTCCTGTAACAGATTTATGTGTAAGTATAGATCAAGGCTATATCTCAGAAAATACTAATTGAATTGAAACTTTCTATAATGCTCCAAGTGGTTGATATTGGCCTTGTTTTATTGACCAGCACTGAAAATAGTCAAGCAAAAATAACTGACTACTCTTGTGTGGTAGATGATTGTTAAACGAGGGCAAAGAAATTTTGAAACATTTTATAAAAAATTTTTTTGTCTTTTAGAATGTAAATGGTTTGAAAATGCAAATTATTTTTAAAAGTGTTTCAAAATACATTTTAATTACACACCAAGAATCATTTAAGGTAATAAAATATAAAGTTAAGATTATCAAAATTATGTATAACTAACTGATCTTAGGGTCTCTGCATTTTCCCTACATTAAATTATCATTTTGAAGTGAATAATGTAGACCACATGATTGTATAATAAATGGAGTTGGCACTGGCAAAACTGAAATTCAGTAAAGGGACTCCACTGAAGTTTAAAAGCCTAAAAACGTAACATTTGAATTTCTTACTTAAATGAGCTGGGGCACTTTAAAGAGAAATATATACAAAGATAGTTAAGAAATATACTTTGAAATAAATTGAAAATCGTATTTTTATGCTTTCCTTAGTCCGATTTGAGTGAAAAGAGTTTTAACGCTTTTCATTTTGGGTCATTTTTTACAATTTGAATAAGTATTCTGGAAAAACTAAGTGCGCCAATGACCTGAAATTTTGCACAAAGATTAGTGGTCTAAACCTACATCAAATGGTACATTTATGGGGAAAAACTATTTTCAGTCCCATCATGTCAAAAAACCTGAGTGAAGTCCCTTTAAGTGGTGGAGTTAGAGGGCAGCTAGAGAGAAAATAGTGGTACTGTATTAAAAAAAAACAACAATTTTTGAGTCTGACTGACAGGTGGCAAAATAAAATTTTGAGTTTCTTGTAGCAAAGAGTTTTTGCACTTGTCCATATGATAATTATATAGTAAATTCTGATCAAATTTCACTTGATGTCCGTAATAGCTTAGGGACAACCTGGGCAAAATTGCCACCCACGCGGTCACATGTTACAGCAAGTTATATTATTTTCATGGTGCAGTGCCTTGTGATACCAGCTATTTGCATACATCTTCTTGATATTGTTGTAGAGGCTGTGGAGTCTGACTCAAGTGACAGTGAAGATGACAATGATTCTTGTGAAGATTATTCAGGTAATTATTTTAAATCTACTAGATGGCTGAAGTAAGCTCAATAGCAAAAACAGAATAGTTGCTCAGTACTGAGCTTTCCAGGAATAAGTTGATTAATGCCTTCATGATGCTACTAAGACAATGAAATAATAAAACAAACAAACACTATGCCTCTTATAATATTCACTCATGTAGGGTAAAAACTATACCCTCAAGACCAGTTTTGTTTTTGGTAATACCCAAATGCCTTGAAGGACTTAATTGAAATTTGGGTTCAGTTATAAGCACATTAAGACAGTGTACAGAAACCAACATTTTGGCATGCAGACCCAAGGCCACAGTTAAAAGTCAAAGGTTTGAACCTAGTATTTTGTGATTGCTTTGTAACTCCCACCAGCCTTGAAAATTTATTGAAATATGGTTGAAATGATCACCTCATTAAGGCAATGTGCAGAACTTACCTTGCAAGCACGCTGGCCAAAGGTCACAGTTGAAGGTCAAAGGTTTGAGCCTTAAATATCACATCCACTCCAAATTACCTTGAGTATTTTAATTAAATTTTAGGTGATTGTTCACCTCAATGCACAACATGCAGAACCAACTGTTCAGACATGCCAGCCCAAGGTCAAGGCCATAGTTCCGAGGTCAAAGGTTTGAGACTGTTGTGTAATTCCTTGATGATGTAAATTGGGTCTAATGTTAACATAATCCTGACAATTTGTGAAACCTATGATCTATTGTAGTTACTTACATAGTGTGTGTGTGTGTGTGTGTGTGTGCATATGTATTGACTTGCTAGTGTGTATGCCAAGGTAGCAAGCTTTGTTTCCTACATGGAAGTGAAGTGACTTGCATAGCGTGTATGCATGTGTACCAAGCTTCATTGTTTTTAACCAGGTTTTCCATGGGAGAAACTTGTGTTATTAGATAGGGAACCTCATTGGGCATGTGGCTTTCACAATTCCTGTCCTTGCCATAACTTTTCCATCCTTGGAACAATTTCAATATTATTTGGCATGTGCTTTCACAATGACAAAATGTGTTGAATACAAAAATCAGATCTGTAGCTCAAATGTATAGGTCTTTTAGACAGGTTAAAGGTCACAATGTCCACAATGTTGTCCTTGCCATAACTTTGCCATCTTTAATGAGATTGTCCCTGTTGAAAACCTTGTTTCATTGCATAGCATAGCAATTTAGTGACTTGCATAGTGTGTATGCTAGTGAAGCTAAATTCATAGGCTTTTGTCAAAAAGCTTGTTTCTATGAGATCTCAAACAGTGTTAATCTGGATTAGGTGGTAAGAAGAATGAGGAAAATCTTTGATTGCTGTTGAAGTTAAATTTTTAATCTTTTCTTCATGAAACCTTGTCAGAATATTTCTTGCTTTTTTGGGGGGAGGGGGTGGTCTCAGAAGAGTGATACAGAAATCTCATAGTAGTCTTCTTTTACAGATATCAAAGAAGGCAAAAAGGAAAACAAGGATACTGGAAATGTTGCAAGGACACAGAAGAGACACAGGCAAGATGGTATGGTTAATATTTTCATTCATTGCACCATGGTTTAGTTATCTAAATAGTTAAAATTATTATGTTTGATTCCGGCAAAATTATGACCTCTGGCATTTGGCTGTCCACCAAAATAATCAAGGTCAGTGTTAGCTATTGACCCCAGAGTTGCAGAATTTTATTGAATGGTAAGCGAAATTATGTATCTGTGTATCAGACTTATATAGGCAGAGTTATGGCCCTTGACTTGACATTTTAATTTGTGGTTTGCATTTCTCCTTAATTACTTGGGCTTAGGTCAGAAAACTTTCGGAAAATGGTTATTGGTTAGTCAAGTTGAGCCCCTTAGTTTAATTTCAACATCTGATTTGTATATTTAGAGTTACATGTATTAAGTATGATACTTAGCAAAAATAGAGATATTCTATACAGTAATATTGTTTCTCTAAAACTTATAATTTAGGCTAGAAATCACCAAACTTGAATTTTTATTATCAGAACTGTAAAGCCTGAGTTATGAGGATTGACTTTGGTAAAAATGCATGGAAAATAAATGTTCAATTTATAATTCTTGTAGTATTTTGTTGCTCCTTAACTATGTGACTTGACTAAATTTGAAGGAAAAATTTCATTGGTAAGTGAAGTTAACCACTTTGGTTTTAATATCAGAACTGCGATGCCAAAGTTATGGTCCTTGACTGAACAAAAATAGATGTAAGGGCTCTTGTTTTCTGACAGAGTTTGTTGGTAGGGACATCTGTGTCCCTAGGCTCATCAAATTTGCATGCATCAAATCATGGCTCGTTTGTTTAAAATGTTCATGACACATAGTTCTTGGAAGTGAAAAATATGTTAAAATGTATCTTAACATTGATTGTATTACTCAAGGAAGAAAAAAAAAGATTCAATCCTGTATTACAACCACGCCACTGTTCTGTCAATCTTTTTACTAAGTCAAGGGAATATTGTATAAATCCAAAAGCGAAACCCCAGGTGCAAATCTAAATATGTTGGGCAACCTGCCCATAAGGTTTAATGACTCTATGATCCTTTGTGAGTAACTTGCCACAAACGTTGAAAATTGAAAAAATTTTCGAAGTCAAGGGCAATTACTCAAAAATACAAAACAAATCCAGACGAAAATACCTGGTGCACAACAACACATGCTGATCAACAGTTCTGTAAAGTTTCATGACTCTAGGCCAAATACTTTTTGAGTTATGCGCGACACAAAAGTGAATGGACTGACAGAAGGACGGACAAGGGTTAAATATAAATGGCTGCTACTAAAGGCCCAAAAACCTAAATTAAAATAAGTAAAAGAGATATTTGGGATCATTTGCATGTTTTCAAGTACTGACTGTCATTTTAAATGATTCAATTTCTATTTAGATGCTGAAGAGTCGAGTGATGAGAATAATGATGAAGAGTAGGATGCCAGTTATGATGAAATAGCTTCTGACTGATTCTGCCAAGTAGCAACAGAATCACCTGATTACTCCTCAAAAGATTCTGATTCTAAATATAAGGAACAGCAACATATGAAACGTTGCATTGGTAAGTTTGTAGTCTGATCATTGATCACCTGATTTTTGATTATTGAAGTCATATTTATCATTATCATCGCATAAAATTGTCGAAAAATGGGACATTCCCAGCATACCGGGATGTTATGGTATGTATACAAGCCATATTGTTAAAGCATATATCTGGGAAACAATCACTATTATAAATTTGCGAGTCTTAAATTTGCATTTCAGATGCTAAGAAAAAAATCAGAAAAATTGGCCTTATACTTGCTTAATTAAGATTTCATTACAAAAAAGCATAAAGATTAAATTCTTACTTGCATAATTTCAGGCTGTATAACAGTCCAATTGTAATATGCAAACTGATAATATGTCTGTTACTTGACACAAAAGCTTGTAATATATTAAACACTTCTGTTTGACACATTTGCTTGCACATTCTCACAAACTCATTTGGTTGAAAGTGATTGTGCATTTCACGTGATTGTGCATTTCAAAAAATCTTTATTTTAAAAAAAAACAAAAAAATTCATGTCAATACTCTAAATGTGGTCTTATGTATATTTTTTATAGATGACTCAATCTGCTATTGTTTGAAGCTTAAATAGATAAACAGCTTACAGTCCCAATTATGTTGTTAAATGATGCTTTTGTTTGTTTAAAATTTAAATGCACAAACATATATCTTAATAGGTAAAACTTACCCCCCCCCCCCAGAAAGGGATGACAAAACCATGGACAGAGATTGAAAAAGAGGCTGTAAAGAAAGGATTACACAGATGCTTTTTTTTAGTCAAGTTACCATCAAAAAAGAGAGTGTGAAGATCTAATCAGTAAGGAACCATGTTTAGAATACAGATCATGGACAATGATAAAAGATTCTGTGAGAACATCATTTAAGCAGCACAAAAACGTCAAAATGAAAAGGAAAAAAAGAACATAAAATTGATAAACCAGTGAATATATTATTATGTCTGGATATCTACATTTTTTTAAGTATGCAGGAACTCAAATTTCTCTTGTCAAAATTGTCTCGATATCGCGTGGAACTTAACTTAAAATTTGCCTGATATTTTTGTGGTTTATTGTTTTGCCTCAACGGAGTAGTGGCAACATGTAGGGATCCCTTCTCCGGCATCTGCCACAAAACTTGTCTGGACTACTCCTCAGAAACTACTGGTGCAATTTCATGGAAACTTTACAGGAATGCTCAGTACTAAGTCTAGTGTTTTACATAGAACAGTTCATCAAAATAAAATATCGTAAACACCGCTTATAACTAACAGCTCTAGACCTACAAAAAGTGTTTGTTTTTTAAGGAGTATGTAATAGATATTTATCTTCTGTTTTGTTATTTTAAGCTAGATTTTTTTTCCAAAGAAAAAAATATAGAGGAATTGCCACAGTCAGGTTCGCGTTCCCGTATCCTGTTGCTATTGTCATCCAAAAACTTTAACATTGATCATTATTTTTAGATCACCTGTCAAAAAGTGACAGGGTGAGCTTTTGTGATCACTTTTCGTCCAGCATCTGTCTGTCCGTCCGGCGTCCGTAAACTTTTACTTAAAATGACATCTCCTCATAAACCACTAAGCCAATTTCATCCAAACTTCATAGGAATGTTCCTTTGGTGGTCACCTTTAAATATTGTTCAAAGAATTAAATTCCATGCAGAACTCTGGTTGCAATGGCAACCCAAAGAAAAAACTTAAAATATCTTCTTTTAAATAACCCAAAGAGCTGGAGCTTAGATATTTGGCATGAAACATTTTCTAGTCAGTGTCTACTAAGTTTGTTCAAATAAAAGCCCTGGGGTCAAAATTGGCCCCACCCCAGGGGTCATTGATTTTCACTATATGCATATAGTAAAAACTTTAAAAATCTTTTTTTAATTTAGATTCCAAAGAGCTACAGCTAAGATATTTAGCATGAAACATCTTCTAATGAATGTCTACCAAGTTTGTTCAAATAAGAGCCCTGGGGTCGAAATTGGCCCCGGCCCGGGGGGTCATTGTTTTCCCTATATGTATATAGTAAAAACATAAAATATCTTCTTTTAAAAAAAACCAAATAGCTAGAGCTTATATATTAAGCATAAACCATCTTCTAATGAATGTCTACAAAGTTTGTTCAAATAAAAGCCCTGGGGTCAAAATTGATTCTGCACTGGAGGTCATTGATTTTCCTTATATGCATATAGTAAAAACTTTAAAAACTTTTTTTAATTTAGATTCCAAAGAGCTAGAGCTAAGATATTTAGCATGAAACATCTTCTAATGGATGTCTACCAAGTTTGTTCAAATAAGAGCCCTGGGGTTGAAATTGGCCCCGCCGGGGGGGTCATTGTTTTCCCTATATGTATATAGTAAAAACTTAAAAAATCTTCTTTTAAAAAACCCAAATCGCTAGAGCTTATATATTTAGCATGAAACATCTTCTTTTGGGTGTCTACCAAGTTTGTTCAAATAAAAGCCCTTGGGTTAAAATTGGCCAGGCCCGGGGGTCATTGTTTTTCATTACATTGTATATGTGTGTAGTTTGTTCAAATATCAGCCTTGGGGTTTAAACTGGCCCCGCTCTGGGGGCCTGTATACAGGTGAACAACTTCAGGGCCATCATGGCCCATTTGTTTTATTACTTGGTGTATTGTCCTTATACTTGGGCACAAAAGTCATTTGGAAAAGACCATCAAGCAGACTAGACTAAACTTGGCATTGACTTTCAATTGAATATGGAACTTTGCTTGTAATTAGCAATAAGTAGTTGTAACTTTGTTACTAATGAATGGATTGTCTTCATACTTAGACACAATCAACCTTTCAGCAAAAGAATTTGAGAAGACGAAGCTAAAGGTGACCTTGACTCTTAAATGGTCATGACATTTAGGGTACAAATATGTTATTTTGCTTGATTTTTAGTTCAACTATTGGCAGAATATTCGAGCTATTGCAGTCACCCATTTTTCGGCGTCCCTATGGTTAAGTTTTTGTGCTTTTTGGCTGATATCTCCCTAACTTTGGAAGGGAATGGATTGAAACTCTACACATTTCTTTTCTCTGATTATCTAAGATGATTTGCACAAGTCCAATAACTCTGATTTGCTATTTTGCATATTTATGCCCCTTTTTTGAGTTAGAAATATTTGGTTAAGTTTTAGCATGTAAGCCGATATTTCCAAAACTAAGAAAGGGAATGGATTTAAACTCCACACGCTTCTTCCCTGTAATTATCTCACATTATTGGCACAATTCCCATAACTCTGATTTGGCTGAGGGACAATTTGAGCCACGTCGCGACAAAACCAACGTAATGCGTTTGCCACCAGCATGGATCCAGACCAGCCTGCACATCCGCACAGTCTGATCAGGATGCATGCTGTTTGCTATCAATTTCTCTAAATAGGGTTTGTAAGGGAACAGCATGGATCCTGATCAGTCTGCACGGATGTGCAGGCTGGTCTGGATCCATGCTGGTTGCAAACCCATTATGTTGGTTTTGTAGTGACACTGCTCATTTTATTTATTCATATAGGTAGGCTGTATTATACTCAATGAAACACCCTTGTCTAGTGTTGTGTCCTCCGACAGCTCTTGTTATTATAATTGCTTGTAACTTTCTTATTTATAAATGGATTGTCATATTAATTGAACATATTATCCTTTTGGACATTATCTTAAGTAAGATCAAACTCCATGTAACCTTGACCTTGAACTGACCTTGACCATCAAGGTCAAATTATTAAATTTTGTTAAAAATGGTAGATTTGACTGTAATTGATCAAAATAACACTTATGACAAAATCGACATGATGTTTTATCTATGTCTGTCCAGGTCATGTTACTGACTTTTGTCAAAAATAGTTCAACTTTGTTATCAATTGATGGATTTGATTGATACTTTACAAAAGAATATTTATGAAAAATGCAACATGTTGTTTATCAATTTTTGTATGACTTTGACCTTGAACTGACCTTGACCGTCAGGGTCATGTTTTTGAATTAAGCTGAAATTTGTGTTAATTTGTTATTAATTGAATTGATTCTTGGTCAAGATCAAAGTATAGACAAACTGACATGTTGCATAATCAATTTTTGTTCTTGACATGACCTTGACTGTCAAAGTAATGTTTTTGAATTTTGCTAGAATTTGTATAAATTTGTTAGTAATGGATGGATTTGATTAATACTTGGACAATACAACAGTTAAGCAAAACCCAAACTTTGTTATTTATGAGCAGATTTGGTTCATACTTTGGCATGGACTGCATGCAGCACTAAACCGTTATAATGAGTAATTCAAATTTGGCATTGACCTTTTAACGACCATCACCAAAAAAGCGATACGACAGTTAAGTTATATTAGTGACACAAATAAATTTAAAATCATTTTCCGGGTTTAATGTGAGGAATTCAGTTAAGATAATACATTAATTTGTTCGTGAATTGTTAAAATTGATTCAGAAATTTTCATGCCCTTGTTAACTTTTTATATGTGATTATTTATTGTTAACATACATTTGATATGACACACAACGTTATTTTCTTGATGTTATTGGTATTTGAATATTTAATATTAATTTATTGAACTTTAATAGAAATATTCAGGTTAGCTAATATCATCCAATTTGTTATTGTATTTACTCATTATATTTGTATTTCTACGGCTGCGTTTTTATTGGCGCTATACGTTATAAACGAAAAATAGTCACATATTCTGGAACCTTATGATATGAAATGTGATTATGAATAGATAGAATGGAAATAAAAAAAGTGGATTTATTAAAACATTTTCCTTTTCCAATGCATTGTGTAATAGCCAGGATAAATGTTAATTATTTATAAGTACTTATTATTTCCATATGTAGTAAATTATTGACTTTTAATATAATAAACTTACTCGACCTGTTAATATGTCAGTATATTTGGTAACTTAATTAATAAATCGATTTAAAAAAGCTTTAAATTGACAGAAAATTAAAAAAATTTCAATCTAAACTACTTCTGTACCATTGTCTTAGACAAGTAGCTTTTCTAAGGAAAATGGTGGACTTCGCAGGCATCTTAGCGTTGAACTGATAACGATCGCTGATTGGCTTATCTCTGTGACCCCTGCCAGTTTGACTGACAGGCGGCGTAATGTCAATTAATGCTACAGCAGAAGTATAAATCCCAATATTCAAACACATTTTCAAAAAAAAAGTGATGCAGCCTAGATTTTCAGTCTATGTTATTCTTGGTTGTAGTAAAACAAATTTGACCATGAAGTTTATCAAATTAATTGCTTGTTTTGTAGAGGCAATGTCATATTCACACAGAATGACTTATTTGATTTTAAATTTACCGTGACTTGCAGAACTATGATTTTATTTTTCCACAATTTCTTGACATTTATTAGTGATTTCATTAATTGTTACAATTACATCTTCTGGACAGTTATACTCTTGATTGTTGTTTTGAATAAAATAGGACAATAATCGTCTGTACTTAAGTAAAAATTCTGATCTATTTTGGCCTGTAGGTTGCTGATAATGAGATCACGTTTGAGTCCAAACTTTGGTGTTAAGTTATTATTGTATTATGATCAAATGAGTTGATACCTGCCATATTGAAGCAGGATGTACTTTGATTTAACATAAACATTTGTAATGCGATTTCATCCTATTTTGGTCTGAAATTTCTGTGTGAAATCTTGATGGAATTTCGATCCACAGACATATATCAATAGAAGCAGTATATGTTTTAAAGTGTGCATTTGCTTTTTTTATTCCCCGCCAATGGAAACGGGAGGATATTGTTTTGGCATTGTCCATCCGCCCTCTTTCCGCGCTAGCAATTACTGGCTGGAATTCAGCGAAACTTTATGGCAACCATCAATACCAAGAGATGCGCATATCTTTGCCTTGTTCCTGTCAGACCTTCCAACACAGAGTGATGGCCCTTGATTAGTATGCAGTATGTGTAAAAAGCAATAATCGTTTCCGCGCTGTTTCTCTGCAACTACTGGCTGGAATTCAATTAAACTTTATAGGAACCATTAATACAAAAAGGCAATTTGCATCTCATTGGCATGCCCAGATAATACTATCTAACACTGAGTTATGGCCCCTGTTATTGCTCTGAATATTTATCATGTACAAAGAATATTACTGTTTACGCCATGATAAATATATAAAAATAAAGCCTTATGTCTCCAGTTAATGTGTTAGTAATAACCAGTACTCGACAGGGGGATAAATCAAGGAATTTGCTTGTATAGAAGTAAAATTCGAGGCTGAACAATCAACATTTGAGGAAACTTAAATGAAATGCTTAATGAAAACAATGCTAAATTAGTTTGCAAGTTTTGAAAGATAATAATATTATATTCATTTCAAGAGAAAAAAACTTTAATTATCTTGTTTACATGCCATGTTTTGTATATGAAACATTGAAGTGGATATAATGTAATCAAAACATTCAGAATACATCATATTGTTCAGCTGTTGTTTTCTTGTTGTTGTTTTTCCTTTACCATTTCATGCGTAAAAATCGAAGTTACTTGGTCTGTGTTATATGGAACAGAATTAGTGCATTTATTCCATCTTGCTTTATGATATTGGGACTTACATTATGCTTGCTTCTTTACTTCTTTATGACAATGAAAACCTGCGTTTTGCTGAATTCAATCATGCCTTATTATTACTGAATGCACTTTCATGTAATTGCAACCTTATGTGTTCCCTACTAAACCATCAAACTCACATATTTTAATATGCTATATGTTTAATTGCATCTTTTATAAAGATCAACGTATTATGTTTGGTGTTTAATATAACATTCTTTGCTTGTTCTTGATATAACTAAATGTCACATGGTTAGTTTCTGTCAGTACCTTTAATTTGCCTTATATTGTCGACATTATGTCACAATAAATTATTAATTTTGATCAATAATTGGCGAATTTGATGTGTCTTAGCATTCATATGCTTCAATATATTCACTGATTACAAATATAATGCAATATATCACTGCGCATCGACAACGAAGATGACAACGATAGCGATATTATAGTCGCATGTGACAGTACGCACTAAGCAGTTGGCAGTAAGCATAATGCGAGTTGCAATAATTTGTGTTCGTATTATGACAGCAGGTGTCGCTTTATCGGTACATCCCGTTATTTTCCGGATGATCCCGTATTTTGGCACGTGGAGTAAAACAAATTTACGTCCCCTTTATACAGGGGCGTATACAGAACAGTGTTAGTTGGAGACTAACATGTAAAGGGAAAATTTACTGGAAAACAAGGGAACACGATGCGACAGACGAAAAGTGCGTGTTTTTGAAGATTCCGCCAGCATGTGAAAAAAAATGTTATAGATTTCTCTAATAACTCATCCTACAAGTGGCAACTCACCTCTTATATAATTGTTTACATTTCTTTTTGGGCGTGTGTGATAGTCGTATGAGCAATAGTGAAATTGAATTTTAAGATATACTATGCTCAAACTTACGGTGGCACAAAGGTGACATGTGTGTGTTTTTATTTATCTCATGCGCACGAGATACTATGTCGTGGCCACGGGTTACTAAGTCGTGACCACGAGATAGTTAAGTCGTGGGAACGAGATATTTAATAACCAATCAAATTACACTATTTATATGAATTTTCCTAACAAGGATGCCCCTACTTCTCCTGTCCGTAAAAGTACGTACATTCATACAAGTTATTGATTGGTCAAAGATTTAGCGTCATTGTGACCCTGATTTCTGCCAAATTGCCTAAAAATTATTAGATGTCATCTACTGATCTTTTTAGGTTATATAAACTACAGCTTATTCTTTCTAAATCATTCATCGATTAGACAATGATTTTACATGAAGTGTCATGTTTGTCTGACCTGTGACCTCAAACATCCTCATAGGATATCTACTGTCCATGGGCAATGTCCCTACCCAATAAAATAAACCAGGACTAAGTCCCTCTCAAATGTTAACAGGCCGTTGTACGTACAAAATGACCAATTCTATCATAGAATTATTCCAACAAAGGGCTATAACTAAGTCAAAATTAATGTATGGTTTATGGGCCTGATGATCCTTAAGACATGTATCAAGTTCAAAGTGAACACTTCAGTATTTTCAAAAAAATAATGTTGCACGTAAATCTTTAAACAGAAATTTTCTAAGTTTAGAAAATCATGGTGTAATCTGATTAAATTATTTCGTGTGCACGACACAGTTATCTCGTTCCCACGACTAAAACGATCTAGTAACTCGTGGCCACGACTTAGTAGTTAATACAGTTCAAACTTGATTTTTTTCTGTAGAATAAAATAAATATAATTTGGCTTCATACAAATATTGTGCTTTCAATCCTTTACACTGTAAGTGGGCAGTATGAATATACATTCGTAAACGTATAGTGTTATTACAAAAAAATATATATATGGAAGTTTCTTTTAAAGACAGACACAACTTTACTTGACCCGTAATAAGGAAAGCAGATTCCTATACATTATGTGTATGTGTTTTTGTATTTTCTGATCGCAAAATCAGTAAATACATAACTAACATCCACGGTCTAACACAAAATTTCCTCACAGACCTAACAACGCAAAGTAGTTCTCACTCAAAACTGCTTAAAACCCAGCAATTTAAAGAAATAATAATTTTTAATGTAGGCATTGAACGAATTACATAGCATTAAAAGTTTACATTAGTCAATGGAAATATGAGGTTACAATCACAAATTTCGCGGATGAATATCTTTTTTACCCAATGAAAAATTTTCCACTATTTCCGTAAAGCTTAATCAATGAAAATGCTATTTTTAGCTATGTCGATTACCGAATACTCCAGAGCGTAGCACACAAATAAATCTGACTGTCGAGTAATGGAATATATACATGTCGGACTGTTTTGGCGAGAAGATTTTCGCTAAATTATTTTCATCAGTGTTTAACAACAGGTTTATCGTGAACAAAATACCTCGAAATAAATAAGGATTACAAATACGAAATGAAAATTCTCAATTTTAGAATTACAATATATTTGTTTTTATTCACGCTACATACGTATTACTTCACTGTGGTGCAGAGGTAGCGCGCTCGTTTAAGGTGTGAGAGGCCTGAGGTTAAAATCCTTGTCGAGGCAACATTTTTTTTGAAGTGGCTTTTTTAAGGAAGTTGCCACGATATGCAAGGATAAAGTGTGGCTGTAATAAAAAATGAAAAATGATTTTTGATGCAACTCTAAGCATGCAAAATTCCATATGTATCAATCACAAACTGCATGTTAAACGCAGTCCCTGCGTAAGATGAATAATAGTATATAAAAATAAACTTACACAGGAAAGATCAGAAAATACCACAGAGCATACAGCCCTTTGATTATTTAAATAAAACATATTTAGTAAGAATTTTATAGATTTCAATAAATTTCTGTGATAAAATATGTTACTGAAAGATGTGCATAGTATATCATTAAGCACAAATGTATATATGTGAATGTGGTGGTGTGTAAGGGATGTCTGATCTATAATCAGACACACATATGCCCAACATTTGAGCCGCGTCACGACAAAACCAACATAATGGGTTTGCGACCAACATGGATCCAGACCAGCCTGCGCGTCCGCACAGTCTGATCAGGATCCATGCTGTTCGCTTTCCAACTCTTTTACAAGTAGAGAAACTGGTAGCGAACAGCCTGGATCCTGATCAGACTGCGCGGCGCGCAGGCTGGTCTGAATCCATGCTGGTCGCAAACCCCATTATGTTGGTTTTGTCGTGACGCGGCTCATTTGTAATTGACTATGCACGTGTTACAAGAATAAACAACTTCCTTCTTTCCTTATTATACGTGTATATTTTAATGCGTTACATACCTATTTGCCACTACTAGTGACTGAAACATTTATTAAGTTAAAAGGCCAAAAATGTTTGCTTTTTAATGTCCAAGTCATTAGATAAGACCTTCGCAGTACCTAGGCAGGTGCTAGACAACTTGATGACAGCATAATATGTTTTGGTAAGGGAGTACAATAAGAAGACTATTGCATGAAACTGACACGTATATATTCCACGTATATTTGGGGGTAAGTGCAGCCCTTAAGCCATGGCCTGAAACCGCCACTGACTGTTCGTGTAACTGCCCCATTGCATCACTTTTTACGAGCATATTTTTTTCAATTAGACTGTATACATATATAAAATTATATTGCATAATCCTTTACTACTTGTATTTATATTCTTTCAACTGCAATGTATGTATTAAACGCTTAGTACGTATTTATATATACATGTACGCGGTATCTATACGGAAAATTCCGATGATAGGCGAATCGTGGAAACAATTCCGTTGACATCGATAACAGAGTTCTCGCCCCTTAACAGTACATAGTTTTAATTGTTTATCATAATGTAAGATGATCAAACATTATCCACAAAGCCTCAGACACCGAGCTTTATTAAGCATAAACACTGCATAATGGATATAAGCGAAAGCTAATAGTAATCACGCCATGCGAGCTATAAGTCATATTTTAAAAAATCCATCAGGGAACATTAAATAGTTAATTTTAAATGACTTATACATAAAAGTAATACAAAAAAACTAAACCGTAAATGGTTTGTATAGAGCATGAAGAAAGGTAGCTTATGCATAAAGGTATATGACGTTAACATTTTAGTATTCCAAATGGCTTGTTCCAATTTATTAGTTATCACTCAATGAAAGAATTGGTGACTACGAAATGTTTGAATGAAATAACGAAAAATGGAAACCAGCATAATGCAAAGTTTAAATATCATAAAGCAAGATGGAATCAAGCATAATGCAAGTTCTAATGTCATGTAGCAAGATAGAATTAAGCATAATGCAAGTTCCAATGTCATCAAGCAAGATGGAATCAAGCATAATGCAAGTTCCAACTTGTCATCAAGCAAGATGGAATTAAGCATAATGCAAGTTCCAATGTCATCAAGCAAGATAGAATAAATGCATTAATTCTGTTCCATAGTGTTATGTAGTACACAGCTAGCTTTCTGAAATTTTGTTTATGTTCATATTATTGTAAGCAATGATTTTGGGTCGATAAGATGACCCTTACAACAATCAGTTGTGGAGAAAAGTACTAGATTTAGTTTGTTTGTATCATGTATGCTAAGCTCATAAAATTTTTATAAAGGTACAGTGTATAAGGATATCATCGAGTGTTCTCTCTGAGCTGGGTTTCATCCCTGGAAGAATGGTAGTTAAGAAGGATATTAGTTAAGAACTGGTGCGAGTATCCGGTATTGAGAACGATTGTTAAGAAACTACCCAATTGTTAAGAAACTACCCGTCTACAAAGCTGACATTATGTTGAAAAGGGCTTATAACCCTCCGTGTGTGCGTTATATATAAACATATACAAAAATTTACCTCATAATTAAGTATCAATGTTCTCTTTTTCAAAACCTTAGATTTTCTACATCCCGTGACGTTTTCCTATAGTGAAGTTATTATGTCCTCAATAGCTTGCCAGTTCACTTATCACTTAACAACGTCCACAGAAGAATGTGTTTTGACCAGTGTCCTTAATTGGATGCATTTGTCAGAATGTCCCCATTAGGTTAGACACACCTGAGTGGGGGTGGGTCCTCAATAGACTGTCTTTTTTCCAGTCTATTTGTAATGACAGTATC